GTGAGGATTCTAAAGTCTGCAATTAACCTCTAGTAAGTATGTTGCTTCTTTGATTAAGGAAATATATCCTGTATCCTTGTATTTGACTAACTTCTTTTTATACAGGGTAACTTGTAATGTCACGCATTCCTGTTAAGGGGTGATAGATTAGGTCAAAAGCAACCGATTTTGTCCTATAATGTCCTATCCAGAAGTTAACCGTTTTTGCGTTACTTGAATTTTATTTTTTTTAATTTTTATTCCGATTTCAGACGGTTAAATTTGAAATACAAAAGAACTACATGTTTGATTTTGAGTTTTTTGTTATCGTCGCATAGCGGAAATTCCAATAGTTCATAATAAGTAATAAAATGTTGAAAACTTACAAAAGTCTTAAAATTACGCTTTTGAAATGTATGATTTTCTTATTTTTTTAATAACTTATTCGATAAAAAAATGCAATTTTCTGTAAAAAATCTCCTAATAAGTAAATGTGCAAATTATGTTAATAATATCTCTATCTAACAAGCTTTCATTTGAGGTATAAAAGTTACAACTAACTCAAGTACAAAGACATAAAATTAAAAAAAGGTGAGTAAAGTTGTATGAACGATAATTACGTAGGATAAATAAAAGGCTTTTATTTTAATTACAGTTTTATTTAATTACATTTCCTTTCGTATTTTACAGATTCTGCTCAAATTGTAATCCCCTGTTACGAATATGCGCCCGCATTCTCTTACGTAATTCACTTTCGGTAACTCTAGTTGTTAAGCGGCTTTTTATTTGGTCAGCTGCACTTATTATCCTTGTAATTAATTCATCGGGCGTTGGTACGGGCGAAACATCGTACTCCAGACTTTTCACATGTCCCCACACATAGTAATTCATCGCTGTGAGATCTGGGCTTCTTGCTGGCCAGGCAATGGGCCCGCCTCTGCAAATCCATTGATTTGGAAATTTAGAGCCTAAATAGGCCCGTACGAATCTACTGTAGTGTGCGGGACAGCCGTCATGCTGGAACCGCATATTTTGTCTCGTCGCCAATGGGACGTCTTCTATTAATGGAAACAAGTGATTTTTCAAGAACTCTTCATACAATTCTCCATTTAAATTGGCGGGCAGAAAATGAGGTCCAATTAAATATCCATCAATAATGCTCATCCACACATTGACTGAAAACCGGCTCTGAGACCCCGTCGGTCTTATTTTTCGGGGATTTAAAGCTTCTTTATCAGCCCAGTAATGAGCATTATGGTAGTTAGTGATACCGTCCTTATCAAACTTCGATTCATGGGTCCACAGAATTTCCTTAAAATCGTCTGGATCTTCTGTATCTGCATGTAACATGTACCTGCAGAAATCTAATCGTCTTGCAGGATCGCCCTCTTCAATCACAAGCACAGGCGTGTAGTGGTAAGGGTACAATCTTGCAGTATGCATAGTAAACCATACTTTGTATTGTGATATACCCAACTGAGCAGCCACAATGCGCGTAGACGTAGTAGGGTCTTCCTGAAACACACGAAGGGTTTCCTCTTCATCTTCAAGAGGATAGACTCGGGGTCGACCAGCACCACTATGTTGCCTTTGAACACGGTTTGGCGGATGCGCCGATACACAGAGTCAAACACAGTAACATGAGGTGTTCGGCGATTCGGGAAACGTTGCCGATATTCACGGCGGGCAGCTGCAGAATCGCCGTTACAAAGTCCATAACAGAACATTATGTCTGCGTATTCCTCATTTGTAAAAGTTTGCCCGTGCTCGCTATGGCGAGGTCCTGGCGGATCTTCTGCGTCTGCCTCGAAATGAACTGGGAAACTCAAAAATAATAATAGTGCGTAAATCGGGTGCGCGTACGCAGTATTTGATACCAACTAAACCTAATTCTCACTCGGCGTGAGGCGATGGCGTATCTACAATGATGAATAATAACAGCTCTCTCTCTCTCTCTCTCACTCCTCCACTAAGTCAGCTCTTCTCGCTCGCTTCCTCTTCGAGCCGATGCCATAAAACAATCATGGCATGCGCGTCCTTTGAGGACGGTAACGACTTGTTCAAACAGGTAATACAAATTCCTTAAAAATCCAGCCTCTGTGGGTGTCATTGTTGTTTCTCTGCATGTACTTCAGATAATTGAACGCTTAATACCTCATATGAAAGCTTGTTAGATAGAGATATTATTTACATAATTTGCACATTTCATTATTAGGAGATTTTTTACAGAAAATTGCATTTTTTATCGAATAAGTTAGTAAAAAAGTAAGAAAATGATACATTTAAAAAGCGTAATTTTAAAACATTTGTAGCTTTTCAACATTTTATTACTTATTATGAACTATTGGAATGTCTGCTATGCGACGATAACATTAAGCATGCAGTTTTTTTGTATTTCAATTTTAACCGTCTGAAATCGGAATAAAAAATAAAAAAAATAAAATTCAAATAACTCAAAAACGGTTAACTTCTGGATAGGACATTATAAGACAGAATCGGTTGCTTTTGACCTAATCTATCACCCCTTAACAGGAATACGTGACATTACAAGTCACTCTGTATAGCTATTGAGAGATGTGCCCCTATGGACAATATTCGTTCTTTTCGGACTAATCTAAATTAAGAAAATGACGACAAGCGGGTTGACTGTGCACTTCCCACGCATCGCCGTCACCATGAATAAGGATTATGTTCAGCATAAGATCCTCTGAGAAAAAAATGCGAGTTAAGAACATGGATAACAGAGAAATTAAATGGAACAAGTCAGTCACACAGGACTGTACAATTAGATAATAGGCATTCTTTTTTTGCCCCACCCGCACGGCTATTATGTGGAAACTCTATAAAACGTCAAAAAAAAAAACAACAACAAAACGTCATCTTGCAGACCTGGTAGTCTTTAGGGTGCAAATAGTGCATTTCGCGTTTGCTCGCTATGATCGCTATGAGCGTCCGTCTATGGAGGAATGACTTAACTACACTCATTGTTGGTTGCAGAGAACAAGTACATGTTTTGTGAAGCCGAGTAGTCTGTTTGAGGATGTGAAAGAAAGAAAGTTGGTTGAGTAACAAGTTCGCATCTGGATGATTATAATAATAATAATAATAATAATTTATTAGTCCTGTATGATCACAGATGTGATATAGGATAAGTCAGTCAGAGCACTACAAAAGCTAATAACAAATCATGTTAGTGTGGACGCACACATATTCGAACCACATATGGCATATTCCAAATATGGATACAGATAAATCAAATTAGCTTATTGATAAAATTTATAAATATAAAACATATATGTATATATAAAAAAGCGAAATAAAGGACAAACCTTTAAATGACATTCAAACAACAATGATCAAAATCAAACAAGACATTCACACATTAAAAATTCCTCAATAGAGTAAAAAGCTTTCTCCAGTAAAAACTGTTTGACTGTTCTTTTAAAAGTGTTCAGTGGTTGTGATTTCAAATTGTTGGGGAGTCTGTTGAAAAACTTATATAGCCATGTATCTAGGGTTCTCATCCGTTCTAGCCAATCTGTGCGACGGCACCTCCAATACTTGACTGTAACTTGTAAAGTTAGCACCAGTGCTTACAGAATTGAACTTGCTCAATTGTGTTTTAGCAGGGATAAGTATATTGAGTATATATACAGATGGCAAGGTTAAAATCTTTAATGTTCTAAATGAATCCTTGCAGCTAGTGAGCCTTCCAATTTTAGCTATTACTCGAACAGCCTTTTTTGCAACACAAAAAGTCTTTGCAGCTGGGACAATGCTCCCCATGCTTCTATTCCATAAATTAGGACTGAATGGATATGTGCATGGTAATATCCACTTCTCCACAACAAAACTTAACTGGTACAGACAGTAACAGAGTGGGGCGATCTTTTGGCTACTTTTCTCAATATCTACAATTTTGAGATATATATATCCCTAAAAATTTAGTCGCATCCACTTGTTTTATTGATTTTCCAAACGATTTTATTAATAAAGTGTGATCCATCGATGAGGTGGAAAGGTTAAATCTAAGATAAACAGATTTCTGATCATTTAAGACGAGCCCATTATTGCTGAACCACTTACCTGCACCAGTCAAGCTTGAATTGGCAAGTCCTATAACAGATTCTAGGTTTTTACCATTAACAAGTAAAGAAGTGTCATCAGCATACATTACCGAGCAATCGGAGGGGAAGTCATTGACCTACGTTATGTATAAGAGAGGATCAAGTATGGAACCCTGTGGAACACCAGTATGGTAGAGATGTTGGCTGGACTGTGCATTTTCTACCTCGACATGATGCTTTCTATCCGACAGATAGCTATGGAACCAGTCAACTGGCTTCCCTCTGATTCCATATCTATCCATTTTATCTAGCAGGATACCATAGTCAACCAAGTCAAAAGCTTTGCTTAAATCAAGAAATATACCTATGCATTTTTCTCCTTTCTCCTATCCATCTTGAGATATAAATCATCTAGGTAACGAAATACGGCATTTTTGGTTGACATGCCTTTTCTAAATCCAAACTGATTACTATTAAATAATTTGAATCTGTCAAAGAAATTGATGAGTTGCAGAGAGACATATTTCTCAAACACCTTCGAGAAGGGACTAAGAAGTGAGATAGGTCTGAAGTTACACATATCAAACCTATCTCCAGACTTAAACAGCGGCCTAATTTTTGCAATCTTAAGTTTGTCGGGAAAAATTCCTTCTTCGATGGAGCAGTTAATTAAAAAAGCAAGAAGATGGCAAACGATGTCAGATGAAAATTTTAACATGTTAGTGCTAATTCTGTCTGCGCCAAAAGAATTAGAAGCTTTAAGATTTTTTATAATAGCTGATATGTCATTTGCTACAGCAGGTCTGAGATAAAATGAATGAATGTTCCTATCTAAAGGGTTGTCCAATAGGGACGCAGGAAAGTAAACGTCAATTTGACATAGACGCCATCTTTGTTTTCTGTCACCGACATGTCATTTTGTTCGTTGAATGTTTACCATTGATCGCTATGGAGTCGTATTCGATTGAAGACCGCATTAAAGTTATTCAAGAGCACTACAAAAATGGTGCAAAAATAAAAAACACGTTTCGCGCGCTTCGTGAACATTTCGGTCGCAACAACCGCCCAAACCATCGGTCGTCTGGTGCGTAAATTCGCGGCAACAGGTTCTGTGGCAAATCTGCCAGGCTCTGGCCGGCCAAGGAGCGTTCGCACACCGGAAAATATTACTGTTGTGAAGGAGAGTGTGAGAGACGATCCGAAACAATCAAGAACGCGTCGATCCCAAGAATTGGGCATTTCAAGAACCAGTTTGCTCCGCATTCTCCACAAGGATTTGAATGTACACGCCTACAAGATCCAATTGACGCAAGAGCTGCGTCGGGCCGACCATTTTTCGCGCCGAACGTTCTCAGATTGGCTCCTTGAACACCGCCAAATTGATGCCAATTTTTCATCAAAAATCATGTTCAGCGACGAAGCGCATTTCACTTTGAATGGGACGGTAAACAAGCAAAACTGCCGCATCTGGGCGAACGAAAATCCCCGTGAGTATCAAGAGCAGCCGATGCATCCTCAAAAAGTGACTGTGTGGTGTGCATTGTGGTCAAAAGGCATCATCGGACCTTACTTTTTCGAAAATGCGGCCGGGGACGCCGTTACCGTCAATTCTGAGCGATATCACGTGATGATATAGAACTATTTTTTGCCGCAACTTGAAGGAATGGTTATGGACGATGTTTATTTCCAACAAGACGGTGCAACATGCCACACAACCAACGTCAATATCCATCGATTGCAGTCCTTCTTCGGTGATCGCGTGATTTCGCGCAGAGGAAATGTGCCATGGCCACCAAGATCGTCCGATTTGACTCCCTTGGACTTCTTTTTATGGGGATATTTGAAAAGCAAAGTCTACGTCAACAAACCAGCCACCCTCCAAGAACTCAAAAACAACATCATTGCCGAGATAAATGCCATAGAACCGACCATGTTGAAAAAGGTCATTGAAAATTTCGGCCATCGCGTGGACGTCTGTAAATCCAGTCGTGGTGAACATTTGAGCGATATTATTTTTCATACATAAATGGTATAAATGAACCTTCAAAATAAAGTACCCAACTTGATTTGAATATCAATCTTTCTTGTTTTAGTATGCGTTTACTTTCCTGCGTCCGTTTTGGACAACCCCATATATTAATACGAGTACTACTATTTCCCACTTTGTTATCTACGTATAGGTCTGTAATACTATTACAATGTTGCATAAATTTATCGGCCACCTCTTTTGGTTCTGTTATTAATTCATCTTTCACTTTTAATTTAATTACTTCATGTCTAGATGCATTTTTATTCTGTTTTATTACATTCCAAGCGGTCCTCGTTTGATTATTAGAATTTAATATCAATGCGTTATAGTGTAAACGTTTTGCTGCTCTTGAAACTCTAGAATATACTTTTTTATACTTCATATAATGGTCCTTCATGAATATGTCTCCAGACCTAGACAGATCATACAGGTAGTGCAGCTTATCTCTTGATATCAATGTGTATCGGTTGCATGTGTATAAAATCAGTGATATTTGCTATGTGACAGACTTATTACTGAATATGCTGCCAATGAAGTATATCTCTTAGCTGTGCTCGACGGGTTAGTTATATCGTCGCTGGAAAGACAAAGAGGCGTAACTCCAATTTAGCTATTTTACAGGAGGTGCGATATACGCCCGTTTGTTCTTTAAGCACTAGTAAGAATAGGAGATCCGTCCACATACTGATTTGCCGTATTACGTTAACTATAAGGCGGAGCGATACGCCACGTCGTCATATTACGTATATATATATCCACTTTTAGAGATTTCTGCTGGTACTCCAAATGGGCATTTTCCGACTCAGGCCTCTTTGTCTTTCCAGCGACGATATGTTGTCCTTTCCGAAGACAGGTTTATGTTCAAAGTTATAAATTACTATTTCTTACGTTTTTTTTGTGTGTCCGAAAACTTTGAGGAAAATTACGGCAAATCATCATCGCACCCGCGTTGTGTGCAATTACAGTTAGCATGTACAGTTGTATTCATAAAAAAAGCGTACACGAATTAGAATGAGAGGAAACCTTAACCTTATTTGCGTAAAACCGGCTTATCGCATGTTAAAGGTTATTAAAAATGCAAAGCATGGGCGTCGGGCATTAGTTCAATACAGTAACAAAAATGTATTTCTTTATTTTACATCTTAACAGTTTTATAAAAATTACAATAGAAACAAAAAACGATTAACAAGAATAAATAAAATCTAATATTTGGTCATATATCCCTGTTTTTCTATTACTTGAGCCAGTCTATTCGGAATTGACTGAATTATATTTGATACAATATTTGGATCAAGCTCTTCCCAGCACGCATGTATTATTTCCCATAAATCTTCTGAATTTTGTGGCCCCAAATATTTTGGATTGGATTGATATCGGGACTATAAGCGACCTAAGGCAGCACTTCCACATTATGGGTTTGAAACCAGTGGGTTACAGCATTGGCCGTATGAACTGGACAATTATCTTGTTGAAATATGAACGTATTATTGGGATATTTTTGCTCAGCACTTGGTAAAAATATGTTTTCTAAAATGTTAATGTAATTTCCGGCATTAAATCTTCCCTCTATTCGCCAGCAAACACCAGGTCCATGAACACTTATCCAGCCCCATACATTTACAGAGAAACGCCCAGGTCTAGAATTGAGGGGGTTAGTATATCGCTCTTCAAACCTGGTATTGTTTGGACGGTAAACACGAATTTGGCCGTTATAAGTCGACTGGAACGTCTTTTCATCAGTAAAAATGACCCTGTTCCAAAATTGAGGATTGCGGTATATATAATTTAAAGCAAAAATAATCCTTGATTGTCGCCGTTCTTCGTTAAGAAACATTTTTTTCGCAGCAGGGTGACATTTTAGTTCAGATTTCATTACTCTCCTGCTGGCGGTAGGTTGGGAGGCAGGAAATGCTGTATCAATAACAGCATCCCTTACAGTTGCAAATGGATTATTTCTTAAATATCCCAAAAAAGCAGCATCCTGTTCAGGGTTGGTAAGTTTGGGACGACCTGAACCAATTTTCCTCTTTAGGGAATCTTCCTGTTCGCAGCGTTGCTTAATTTTCAATATGGTTTTTTATTTCTATTATACAACTGCGCTACAGCACGGATTGACCATCCTTCTTCGATTCTTGATACAATTTGAGCCTTTTCAACTTCAGACAACTGACGAGGCATTTTTATTTTCTTCTGTCAAAGTTTATCAAACGTTACCACCACGCATTTTCGAAATGAATTACACCGACGTCAATGCTTTGCATTTTTGACAATCTACGACGTGTGATAACCTCCAATAAACAATCATTTAGACAAGCCGGTTTTACGCAAATAAGGTTAAGGTTTCCTCTCATTCTAATTCGTGTACGCTTTTTTATGAATAGAACTGTATATGACTTGTCATTCGACAGTGTACAGTGAATATAATTATTTTTTGTGTCTCTCATTTTTGAAATTCAGCAAATTTGCATATTTAATTTCCAGAATGGCTAAGAAAAAGTGGATGCGCAACTAATTTCTAGCTTTGAATCTCAAGTAAGTACCTATATTTGAGACAAGAAACCATTGAAATTATCATCAACACATCTTAGTAGCACACAAATCCTCACTATGCACCTATGCATTGCCGTTTCCTTCTAACTATAGTATACACCTTGCAGCTTAGACCTCCAGTAATGCCATCTCTGAAGCAGATTTTACCTCACATCAGAGACAAACATCGATAACTGAAGCATCATGACGTTTAGGCAACACGTACAACTACAAAACGAGTCCACAACGTGTCCATCAGCTAGTGCTAAGTTAACGTTTTGTAGAAAAACTGCATAATGTCACAAAAAACGATAAAATGTCAAAAAAAATCGATATAATATCACAAGATACGTAACACCCGTGGCATTCATTGGCAACGTCGCTGTAAAAAACCTTTCAAACTATACTTTAAGTGATTTTAAATTGCTATTCCTTGTATATCTTTTGGCAGGTTGTTAAGATTTTGGGACGAAGTACATTTGGCAATTTATTTCCTACCGTAATTTTAGAAAAGTTGGCTCGTATATTATTACTCTGCCCCGTGGCAATTATGTGAATGTCTTTGTTGAGCGTGAATACGTATAACGCTCTCTTGTGAATCGTCAGAGCAGGTACCGTTAGGTTTTCATAGTTCTAAAAAATTTCTTTACAACTGTGGGTGTTACCTGTTCCATTGATCTAACGATATGCTTTTGAGCAATGTTGTGCCGTAACAGAGCAACCCCAAACATAAATTCCATATCTGAGTATGGGCTATGGGCTGCACAAGACTGCAGTATATTCCTACCAGCTGACTTTCGTAAAGAACCAAGCTTAAGTTTTTAAGCAAATAAGAGAGAGAGATAGAGAGAGAGAGATAGAGAGAGAGAGAGAGAAAGAGAGAGTTAAGTTTGCGAAACCAGGTAGTCGCAATGTACTTTGGAATTTAACTTATCATCTAGAAATATCCCCATAAACTTAGCATCAACGGTGAAGTCCAATGACGCATTCTTATGTTCAGTGTCAGGGACATTTATCTTCTTTTTTGGTTATGAAACCTAATTAAATTGGTCTTGTCAGTGTTCAAATGCAACTGATGTTTGGGAAACCAATTATGAGTATAGATGCGTAGAATTTCTGGGTGGGAAGTGTATAAATATATAGTTCTAGTCACCGCTCTTGGCGGTTACCTCATCAATGCCATATGAAATAATGAAACAGATCGAGTCTCCGTACCATAGGCGCAGACTAATCTTCATCACATCTGCTACTCTCTCCAGTACGCATGAAGTGGATAACAAAGGACCGCCGTTTCCATTCTCTTCCTGGAAATACTCTAATAAATTTAACACGAGCTGTCGGCTTTCTCCACTGATCGTATTTCCGAGAATTGTACAATTTTATATTGAAGACTGATAACAGGGCAAGTCAAGTTGCACACCGATGTAAAGCAAGTTGTCACTCTGACAAATATGACTGAAGGGCACTCATACGTAACTACAAAGTTTTCGAGACGGAGACACACAACTAAGAAACGTATGTCTTCGAGCTTACCGAACCTACCCGGGTAGGTTGCATGTGTATGTATGAGGGAGATGGAGACATACATATAAACAGATACTGGTAGTCTTTCTTTGACCAATAACGGTGACTGTAACTATAATAACATCAAACAATTGAGATATACCCTCCCCTACCCCCTATAACCCCTAACCCCCAAATTTTTAAACCCTACAAGTGTTTTATGAGAATGACCAGGGCCTCCGCAGCGTCAAAAAACGCCGAACAGCCAAAGTAATAAGATTCATCACTTTTTTGAAAAGAATTTGACATCTTTTCAATGTGTACAAATAATAATGGGTATGTTTCTCTGGCTATGTCTGGCCAAGTTGGAAAGTCGGGATTCTTGAAGGCGCTCAGATCATAGGACGCCTAAAACAGAAGTACTTTGTTTTTAGTGTTCGTGCTCGCTTTTTGTCACCAGCAGCGAGTAGCAAGTCGAAAAAATAGATTAAAATTCCTTCTCAAATTCTACATTTTGATGGGGTTCCTAAGGGAAAATTTTAAAAGGCCCTTTCGTATTTGTGATCTGGATAACCACTATTTTCCTAAATAAACCGGTTGCGTAGCTTCCCACGTAAGAAACCTACATGATGTCAAGAAAATCGGTAAAATATCAATTTCGCAGTAGGTAGCCGCTAGTATACTAAGTGACATAAATCCGAACACCCAGTTTAAATGGTTTTATTTTAATAAAAGTTGGTGAATGTATTTATCTTGCTGTAAATAACAAGTGAAAAAATTTTCAGCCTTATCAGTTAGACATTCCGGTTTTTATACTGTTTTTTTTTAATTCACTAACGCTCTAAAAATGAATATTTCAGCCGCAGTGAAGAATCAACGTTGGCGGATTTTGGTTCTTGACATCCTTTACGATCGGTTACGATGCCTAGAGTACGGAGACCTGTACGATTTCGTGAGTTTGATAG